TAATGAGAAGTGGAAACATGTATGCTTCATAAAGTTACTAAGGCAAATACAGTTGATCCTTGAGCAATGCAGGGATTAGGTGTGCTGATCCCCTGTTCAGTCAAAAACCGACGTGTATCTTTTCGCTCCCCAAAGCCTACCTACTAATAAATAGCCTACAATTGACCAGAAGCCTTACGAATAACTTAAACAGTTGATTAACACGTAGTCTACATTTATATACATAGCCTACTCTCTTCTTACCTTAACAGAGTAAGGTAAAGTTTCTGAAATTTTAAGAGGAAATGTAGGTACAATACTCTACTGTATTTGCATATGCTGTAAGTGTACAGGGTCTGTTTACAAGATGAACCATCGGACAGAAAGGACAGATAATTGCTTTTTCACACTCCAATCTATGGTACATATCAAAGCAATTCAACTTTTCTAGTAACATCATGACTTTGCTTCTTGAGAGTACTTCCAGCATCACTAGTGGCATTTTATATGGGTCACATGGTGTTATTCAACGTTTATGTTACTGCACTAACATAAGAAATACCCAAGAACTGTGAGAGATTATGTTCACATGGAGATGAACATCACACGGTGTTGAAAGCTGATACTCGCCACACTTGAGCTCACTGCCACAGCAACAGGCGATGGCTGTGAAATTTTTGTAGTAGTACAGTGTGTACTGCAGCCACCTTTAGGCATTTATGATTCAATACTGTGTCTTTACATGTATTTACTTTCTCCCAATTGTGAATGGGGTCATGCATATCTGTGTTTGTATGTGCAAGTTTTGATAAAATTTTTGAAATAGATTTTTGTATATTTTACCACAGTATATGATAAAGTAGACTAGTATCAATATATATTTCATACATTCATGAAATACCTAATTTTTTTTAATATTTCTAGGCTGTGTGGTTCATCTGCAAGTTCTTTCAAACTATTGCAAAGTTCCAAAAAATTTCCCAAGGTATTTTTTGAAAAAACTCTGCACATAAAGGGACCTGCACAAGTCAAAGTGTGTTGTTCAAGGTCAGCTGTATTTGGAACAGGAATCCCACAGAACTTTAATGTAAAGATAAGGGCTTACAATTTATAGTAAAAAGTGGAAAAGAAACAATAAAAGGACCTCAAGGGAAATAATAAATGCTTTCTGTTCAAAAACAAACCTTGCAGTTGAATACTTATCCACCAAGGCAAATTAAGAAATTTTCTTTTCTATACTGGGCAGACACAAATTCTAAAGTGTTCTTTGCATTAGAATCCTCAAATAAAAGAAGAAAAGTCACCTGAAACAGTATTGCAAAGAAACATGCGAATGCTCCCCAAATTTAATTCTAGGCACATCTCTTCGAGTGAGAGCAGCAGAGATCGGTGTCAAAGGTGACTCCACTGTCAGTGGAGGGGAGCATTCTCCACCACTCACAGGGGATGGGTGAAAAGAGCCATCTTGACTCAGAGGACGTAAAGATGACCTAGTACACAGCCAGAGATGTAAAAAGAACATGTGCAGAATATTTCTGGCTTTCTGTAAATAGCCCCGTTACTTGTTCGATTAGAGACAATTATTGTCCATCTAATCACAGGACATTATGCAGCACCCTTTGTGTCTTAAGAAACTTGGGGGAGAAGTTACACTGTACTCAGCCACCTTCCATGATGCATTGCAAATCCCTGCATTTGCAGTTGTTTCAGCAAGGGATAGAGAGAGAAGATAAGCATGCCTTACAAGTTAAACACTACTGTTAAAATCATCTTACCAAAGGGTGGAGGAATTGGCCAAGGCCCGAAAGGTCCACAGAGCTGAGGTGGTGGTCCGTAAGGAATGGATGGTGGTACAGGGCCTCCCATGGGGGCGCGCAGAAGAGGCACTCCTGGGAAAGGAGGGGGCCCTTTTGGAGTCATATCAACCTGCAGAGTAGAAGCAATTGAAGTTTTGAAATACTCTGGTATGACAGACAAAAGTACCAACACCAGTAAAAACTAAAACCCAATGAAGAACATGGCAGGCGCTTGTCCGAAGAGCAGAATTAGTGCAACAACGACCGCTCTCATTTGTTCCCACCGACAGCTTAGAAAGGTGAAAAGTATGTCACAGGAGTGAACACTTCTGTTATAATCGCATTATTGCTTATATCTGCACGTGGAAGGGAAAGCAGAGGTTATAAAGGGAAGGCATTCCTGACTAATACCATTTCTAATGCAGTCACTCGCTCTGCACATCCCTCCCATCAGAATAATTTCCATATTTAGAATGCAGAGAATGGAAGGGAATGAAAAATCCGTTGTCTACCATGTCATAGCGATTATTCCGAGTACCTTCAACGGGCCTTACATATGTTAACTCCAATTCTCCCATCTCCAAATCTCTAATAGGACCATCTTGTTCTAAATAGGCAGGGACACAGGCACAGAGAGTGTCAGATAATTTGCTGACAGTCACACAGCACGTAACAAGCTGGGCTAGAATTCAATGCCACCTTTGACTCCAAGGCCACGTCGTTTCCACCTCTACTTCTCCTCTCTAACAGAGTGGTCTCTACTGTCTTTCAAGTCTACTTCAAAGGGGCCTTGGGTCTTACCCAAGTTGCCCTTGGATAAAAAGATTTCTCAAGACTTGTGTATTCCTCGAGTCACGTGCTGGAACTCGAAAGCGTGTTCCAAGAGAAACAATGTTATATACACAAACTACACAGGCACACTCTATTTACCTTCATTCACAAGTAATACCGTCAACTATGAGACACTGACTACTCATTTCCTACGGGAAAGTGGTTTGGAAACTCTCAGTCATTAAAATAAATGTACTTTGGTTTCAATACAGAGAAGCATGGTGAGGTATCATCACAGGGCTTACCAGCCTTAACAGCTAAACAAGTTACAAGAGAATACACTTATGTGAATACTGTTTAAGGACACTGCTGAGAGCTGGTTCAATGTGTAATTACAGACTTCCACTATTCAGTACTGCACTTCCAACAAACATTTTTCTGTTATCAATCCGTAATTTCAGATCATTCAAAATAGGTTTTGCCTAGTACACAATTGCAGATATTCTTAGATGGCAGATGTCCAAATGAAGGCATGGTAAGGAATTATACAATTTGCAATGAATTTACTTTGCAAGAGACCATTAAACACTGAAATGCAGAAGAGTGGGGACGTTTCACCTTCGTTTTAGTTCATTACAGCTACGGCAAATGCTCTACACAGGTTAAATTTCTAACCCAACAGGAGAGAGGAAAAAAAAGGCCAACAAATCAGTCAGATTTCAGCACCACTCCCAAGTCAAGGACAAAAGTAACATCAATATCACCAGGCAATTTACAGCCCAGTTCAGTCCACACTTCTAAGTACTTACTGCTACTGGATGCTCAGCTCAAGATGTAATGCTGGGAACTGAG